GTTCACGCGCACGTGATTTTTCTATTTTGAATAAATCTACGCCTTATATAAAAAAATATTATCGAACATGGAATCCGAATTAGATTTATTAAGACAAGAGAATGCCAGACTTATGGCTAGAATTGTAGAATTGGAGCAGACTGCAAAAGAAAAAGATGAGCTTAAAGCTAGAATTGCGGAATTGGAACATGCTATGGGAGAGAGTACCAGATGCGAAGCTGAGAATGTTGAGCTTAAAGCTGAAGTAACGAAATTAAGACATGATTTTGAGGAGCTCAAACAGCAAACTCAAGTCATTACTAATGTGCAAGACACGTCTTCTATTGGCGGAGCCAGCACAACTGAAAATATCTCGCCTAATTCATCACCTAACGAAAACCTTTCTAATGAGAGGAGTTTGCATAACAAACAATTTTCAACTGATGATATTGATTCCGAGTCTTTAGAGCAGACACAGAACACCGTTTCTTCTGAAATAAATTCTGACAATACTCCCGAACAGATGGAAGATAACGCGTCTAATTCTGATGTATGTCAGAAGTTGATAGATAACACAATGTTCTGCATTACCTATCCACACAGAGTCTAAATTGTTAGAAGTTAAGGAGATCAATAATTTTCTGGATCGAAAAGAAAAAGAAAAAGTTAGTAATATAATGAGAGATATAAACAGGGAAAAGAAACTATTACGAAGTAACAAAGATTCCACTTCTCAAGATCAAGAATCAATGCAAAAAGGACCCTTTTCTTCTGATAATCCTACAACTGAGGCACAAAGTACTGTTTCTTCCGAAATAAAAATTCCCTATAATCAAAAAGTAGAACAAGGTTTAATGCGTGAATTATCTGCATTTATTAACGAGAAAAGCCCTATATCTGACAAACAAATTACTGGCCATGCCTGCTTCGCTGAAAATATGCTAGACGGGAATGATCTGACTCCAGGTTCTACATCACATTTAGCTCATTTATTTGATAAGGCTAAAAAAACTGGCCAGAAAGAAATTTTATGTTGGTATTGTTATAGTGAGGAGTTTGAAAAAAAGGTCAGAGATATTAGCTTAAAGAACGAAATTAATGATCAAATGGCAAGGACACAGATTTACAATGAAATGGAACCATATCTTCCTGATATCAAGAGAGAGTATTTGCGTAAGAAGACTCAAAAGGCTAAAAATATTTATACATTGTTCAAAGAAATAGGAATAGATAAAATCCAGCAAGTTACATATAGTGCTGATGCTATTTCTAGTTTAACAGGTGTTCAAATCCAAAATATTATAAATCGTTTCCCTAAAAAGAGCACACATGTGATTGAACGATCTATCTCAAATAATTCAGAAAAATTACCAGAACTTCTCATCAAAAACGAATCAGATATAAATACTCTTATCGACATTTTACAGAAAAAATATAAAATCTCAGGAAACGTGTTAGAACGATGGAGAGATAAGATTGCTTTTGAATTGCGGGATAATCAAAATTACTGGAAAAAAGAGCGCGAGAGCATGAATGAAATCGACTTCTTAGAACATAAGCAAAACTTCGAGGCTAAAATGAATGTCCCTACTACTCCATACAAAAAAGAACTAAAAGAGCGTTCTTTAGCCCTTATTGAATATGGGTAACTTTAGATGTGGAAGTATGCTTCTTCAGCAAAAAAATAAAATGTTTGAATCAACGGTTTTTTAATGCATATGAAATCCTTATTATTTTTTTGCGCCACAGCAATGGGCTTCGCCCTACATACCTCTCCATAGTCGAATACTGCTTGCGTGTTCCTATTAATTATAACTATATTTTCACCTTCTATGGCGTGCATATATTTAATCAGATGAGTCGGAGACTCTGGGCCCTGCCCATTCTTAAATTGTATATACTGCGTAGGATTCGTTATAAATATACCTTGAATTTTACGTCTGTTATTTCTAGATCTTTTGGTTTATTTCAAATTTTTCTTCTTTTAATTGATAAAGTGTAGACTTTTGGAGTTGGAATTACACATAATTCAAGAGTATCAGTCAAATTATCATCAGCATCATCAATTATTATTGTACTGTTACTAGTGGCCATTTGTTAAGAAGGATTTCAAAATTAAAGTTCGTTTATGTCTCTTTTCACTACCATATATATTAGTTAATATATTCGTGTGAATAATATATCTTTTTTTT